GCGGCCACCCCTACAACCCCAACTAGCGTACCACTCACGTAGCTGCTGGGGCGTGAGGGACTCACGCGGACGTCGCTGGAGCTGCATCTGGCCACCGCTAGGAGCAGCAGTAGCAGGAGCAGCAGTAGCAGCAGCAGTAGCAGCAGAAACAGTAGTAGCAGCACGGGCAGGGCAGTGTGGCAGCGCGCTAGTAAGGCAGGCGCGCGGGAAGCGCGGGTAGGGCAAGTGCTCACCAGTGGCGGGAAGGGCAGTCGCTCGCCGGGCGAGCACGGTAGGCGCACGACGGCGGCGACGGCGGGGCCGGGACAGCTGCAAGGCGGGGCCGCGACAGCGGCAGGGGGCCCCTCGGCAGCTGCTGCAGGGCGGGGCCACGACTGCTGTAGGCGGCTCCGCGGCAGTTGCAGCAGGGCGGGGCCGCGACTGCGGCAAGGGGGGGGCTCCGCGGCAGCTGCTGCAGGGCGGAGCCGCGACTGCTGCAGGCGGCTCCGCGGCAGCTGCTGTAGGGCGGGGCCGCTACGGCGGCAGGGGGGGCTCCGCGGCAGCTGCTGCAGGGCGGGGCTCCGCGGCAGCTGCTGCAGGGCGGGGCTCCGCGGCAGCTGCTGCAGGGCGGGGCTCCGAGGCAGATGCTGCAAGGCGGGGCTCCGAGGCAGCTGCTGCAGGGGGGGGGGGGCGCCGCGACGAGCAGGGGCGACACCCCGGGGGCGCCGCGACGAGCAGGGAAGGCGCCGCGGGGGCGCCGCGACGAGCAGGGAAGGCGTCCAGGGGGCGCCGCGACGAACAGGAACGGCACCCAGGGGGCGCCGCGACGAGTAGGGGCGACACCCCGGGGGCGTCGCGAAGAGCAGGGACGGCGCCCAGGGGGCACCGCGACGAGCAGGGGCGACGCCCGGGGACGTCGCGACAAGCAGGGACGGCGCCCAGGGGGGCGCCGCGACGAGCAGGGGCGACGCCCTGGGGGCGCCGCGACGAGCAGGAGGGGGACGCCGCGCGTGTCCCGCAGGGGCGTCGCGACGAGCCCGTTTTAGGGTGGCACGCGAGCTGCAGAGGCAGCTCCCACGGGCTGCAGAGGCAGGCACGGCTGCAGGGGCAGCGCCCACGGGCTGCAGGGGCAGGCACAGCTGCTCGAGAGGGCGGCGCGCGGGCTGCAGGGGCAGCTCCCACGGGCTGCAGAGGCAGGCACGGCTGCAGGGGCAGACACGGCTGCAGTGGCAGCACGGTCGCAGGGGCAGCACGCGGGCTGCAAGGGAAGCGCGACCGCAGGGGCAGCTAAAAAAAATATTTTCAGTTAGGGCAGGGCGGAACGTTCGGTGGGCCCTAGGAACGATTCTGCTCTAATACCATGTCAGAATAAGAACGAGGAATTAATGAACTAGCAAGCAGGTGGGTACAAGTAGGAAACCCTAAATATGTTGTACCCCATATGGTCTACCCCACTACAGCCTAAACAGACTATGTCATATAAGTTTGACATGTTGTCCTCCTCGTCTCCCGTCTCCTCTCTTTTTTTACCCTTCTTGTCTCTCTTCCTCCTGGACTACTCGTCGTGACCCTCATGGTCATCCCTCATCCCGTGTTCCTGGATTTTACTCTGTGGGCCTCCGCCCTTCTCCCCCTCATGTTTCTCCTCCTCTCATCCCCTCCTCTCCTCACTCGTCTCTCACTACCTTACCTCTTCCGTTCTCTTACATCCTCCGTGCCACTCGTCCTACGGTCTCCCTTGTCCTTTTCTCCCTTGTCACTGACCTTACTGCTCCTCCTTTGTCTGTCTCAGCACTTGTCACCGTTGTCACTGACTTTGCCTCCAGCCACCGCCTTGCTCAGTTAGTTATTGAATATGCACGTCCTCCATCCGGCAGGGGTGCACATGCCTTTGCCACTGACGTCCGAGAGGACAGGCAGTTTGATCTCTGTGCCATACGGCTAGCACCTGAGGGTGACCCAGGCGGCTTTGACATCTCGACTCCTTGTACATATAGTGAGGTAGTCTCAGGTGAGTGGGCCTCTTGGTGGGTAGCAGCCATGGATGCAGAGATGGCATCTTGGATTTCCACAAGCACCTACGTCGACGCAGTTCTCTCTCCTGGGGCGAACGCATTCGATGTCATATTGATCTTCAAGGTGAAGCGGCCACCTGGATCGCCGCCTGTTTTCAAGGCACGTTACGTGGCAAGAGGATTCAGTCAGAGAGAGGGGGTATACTTCTTTCAGACCTTCTCCCCCACCCCGAAGATGACTAAGATGGAACAACACATTTGCATGTAAAGGTTTCCTACTGGTGCTCCTGCTTTCTGTCATACGGTAATCCCCATTCTTATTCGTTAACATTCTCTCCATCAGAATTGTAGATCTATATCTCCATATCGTATTACTCTCTACGGTCTGCAAGTGTATTGGTTGGTTATTAGTTACCTATTGCTGGCCCTTCCCATTTCTATATTTGGTATGCATTGCCTTTATTGAAACCATCTCCTTCCAATTTCTCTCGCTACTCCTACCATGCTATCTCCTAAGCCTATGTTCTCCTAAGATACTATTCTAACATGGTTTCAGAGAAAGTCCCAATTTATGACCGCTTATTTTTTTATGGGCCCACCCTTCCCACCCGCCATGCCGCGCCCGGCAATGCTCTCGCCTCGCTCTGCCCACAGCCCACTCGTCACGCCCTGCCTGTGGCGAGCATGCTAGCAATCCCTGGCGAGCGCGCCACCAACGCCAGAACGCCAGCGACGACTGCCATTGCTAGCGACAGTTGCCAGCGGCAGCAATGGTCGCCAGCGACAGCCGCCAGCGTCGGTCATCAGCGACAGTGCCAGCAACGGACGCCATCGCCCTTGCCCAGTTCAGCCCACTCCCTGCCCTCTTCTCTGTTGCGCCCTGACACAGTGGGTGCTGTGAGGGGGAGGTGGCGGGGCTGGAGGCCGCTGCCGTAGGGGGTGCTTAAGCCACCTTGACCCACCTGCCCCACCCTATTCCTCCTCCTCGCCGTTGCATTTGCACCTGCTGTGTCTGCCACGTTGGGGAGTGAGGGGAGGGGGGGGCGTGTTGGGGTGGCGGGTTTGACCAGGCAGCCGCCCCTCCACCTCTCACCTTCCAGCCACCTTCCTCTCTCCCCTTGCCGCCCCTACTGCCGTGGGTAAAGGGGGGGGGGGTGGGCGTGTGTGAGGGAGTGGAGGGGGTGACCATACAGCCGCCTCTTGTGCTCTCATGTTTGCCTCTCCTCTCGTGTCCTCCTCCTCTTGTGCTCTCTCCAGTTTCCGCTGCGCTCCCTTTGTGCACCACGAGCTTCCTCCTCCTTAGTGCACTCCCCGCCCTCCGCCAGTTGTATTTGCTCCTCGACATCCGAGCTATCGGCATCCTTCGCCCTCCTGCTCCTGCTGGCGTTCACAAGTGCTGCCGGTGAGCCACCGCTGTTCCTCTGCCTATTGCAGCCACAGCAACCGCTCTCACGCGACCTACTGCCAAACTGCATTAGCTATAGCTGTAGGCAGTTACGGGGGTGCAGGCCCTCAGATATCAGGATAAAAGATCCTGAATGCCCTGATTTCAGGATCTGTATGATGCTCCAGGATTGAAATTTCAGTATTTGTAGAAACTTCAACCTGAATAATCAGGGCATTCAGGACTCAAAAAAAAATCTAGGACTAGATACAGAACCACCGACAGGGGTACAGCGCAACATACGAGGCGTGCAGTGCGCGAAGATAAAATCTGCATCACTGTACAGCATGTCACGCGCGCCACTGCAAAGCTGCCAAATAGGCCAATCAGGCAGCGCTGCAGGAAGAAACCCACGCCGCACGCGGCGACTTTTCCGCGTTTGCATGAGGCCTTACCATGCGCTTCCCCCCTGTCCATCAAAGGTGGGTACATCCCTTCGGTCAACCTCATCCACACCTCACGACAAGTCGCCATGGCGTTTGACTATGGAAATCTCCAGAATGAGGGTGACCGTCCCCTCACCCTCCTCTTCTCGCCACGAGTTCCTCCCCATCTCCTTCAACCCGTTCTTGATGCAATGGAAAGTTGATCAACTTTCATTCTTCTTACCTAGTTTTTGCTACCTCCTGCGTATCTCAAGCGGTGTTTCAGCATCACACATCGCCCATGGCTTCACCGTCGCCACCGGGCGATGGTGAAGCCCCCGCCATGCCTGAGGGTACTACAACTGTTTAGCCCTTAACGGCCCTTGATTTCCTGCGTTTTGCGCCCGTAGTACCCTCGCCAATAGTACCCTCGACAGCCCTTCCGTCGCCAGCGGTACCCTCGCCGTCAGTACCGTCGCCAGCAGAACCTCCGACAGTAGTACCGTCGCCAGCTGAACCTACGCCACCAGTACCGTCGCCAGCAGACACCCCACCAGCAGTTCCATCAGCACATGTCACTGAGGTTGTCGTCGACAATACGGATCTCCCACCGCGGATTCGTACACGGGGCGAATTCTCGAGGGCAGCCGTGCAAGGGTCAGTCCGTGTTGGACCCCGTTCCAAGAAGCTTTCAGATCCACGCTACCATCAGACCGAGATATCATTTGAGCGTACACCCGTGGCACCATCCAGGCAAGATCAAAGCCATCCCTCCGAGGCGACCCGTACGGTTCTCGTACCAACCACCCCCACTGCTTCATCCGACACATATTTGCCCAACATCGCTAAGAATCTATACCAGGAAGCACTTTTCAATTTTAAGAAGCCGTGGACTACTGATTTTCCCTGGCTTGTTATTTGCCAGACATCTTAGGACGCGTCCCCTCCCTCGATCGATCCTGCGTAGGATCGATCCTGCGCTCGGTTTAAAAAGGTTAAAAAAAAATCGAAAACAAGAAAACGCAGGATTTCAGTGCGGTGGAGGATCGATCTTCCACGATTTTGCACAATCGATCGAGGGAGGGGACGCGTCCTTACGGTTTTCCGACTATGAGATGTACGATCTGTATGGAGTATGGTGGCGCATGTACCAATTTCGCGAGGGGCGAAGGAGCTACAGACGTGCAGACACAAGCCATGCGCCTTCACCAGCGTTCCGGGAAGCACAAGGATGCGCTTCACAACCAGAAGTTAGCTCTGGCGAAGGTGAAGAGCCAACAGCGCATCAAGGATCTCCCTCAAGCACGGGATCTAGAGCACGAGCAAGTGCAGGCACTCCTGGAGACGCTCTTCTTCATTGCCAAGACAGACGCACCCATCGAGATGTGGGTGCAGCTTGTTCGGCATCTCGCTAGCCGTGGCACTCCGGGCTTCCCCAAAAAATGGCTATGGCTCGTACTACACCACCTAAGCATGTGTTTGTTTTTGTTTGTGTTTCAAATCTTTCTCTGTTTCCCGGTTCAATAACCACAACTGTTGACCCTACTGCAGGTACGGCTTCCAGAAGCTTGTCGAAGCTTCTGCGACCTATCTCCGAGCCCAACAGCGCGAGTACATTGATTCAAGCCCCTTCATCGGTTTGAGTTGCGATGAGAGCACCGATCGTGTGCGAGGGAAGCACATTCCTTGCATTGCCTTTGCTGAATCCATCTCCTTCCAATTTCTCTCGCTACTCCCGCCATGCTATCTCCTAAGATACAACTCTAACAAGTCTCGTAAATACCGGTAGGGCATTTTTTACTAAACATAATTTTTCACCCCGGGCTACAACCATGTGCGCTTTTGATTGTGAGGTGATAATTCTATACATTTGCTGTCCATCTCAAATTAACAAAGTAGCCCCATCAAAGGTCCTTAACCCCATTGTAATTTGCTGCTAACGACCCTCTAGGGGCTTTTAAACGAGGACAGCACCAGAACCAGGGATTGCCAGATCCAAACACCCCCTTCAGAGCTCTAGACACCTCCGAACCGGAACGATTGAACAAGCTCAACCAGACCCCATTCCCACAAGGCCAACAAGTCCCATCTCCCCTGCTCGAATCCACTACTCTTGCCGGCACTACCCTTTTTGGCCCATCCCACATCACCTTGTTATTTCCGGCTCCTTTCTTTGCCTTTAATGCGTCTACATAACCCCCTTCTCCGGACAGGATGAAGTCCAGCTGCTGGTACAGTAACAGCGAGACAGAAATCCCTGTGCCGAGTGCGACTATAAAGAGGTAAAACGCGATGAACGCCCGGACCGGGAGTTGTTTTCGGGCAGCCCAAAGGGCAGCGGCAAAAGCTTTTGTGGCGGTGGAGACGAAGGAGGTGAGGTCGTGAGGGGGGTTGTGGGGCATGTGAGGCGTGACGTCGAGTGCGGGGAGGAGGAGGTAGAGCGTTGTTGCGGTCATGAGGGCGACATAGGTGCAACTGATGATGGTGGAGAGGAGGAAGAGCAGGAAATGCCTCTGATTGGCCCGACCCACACAGTTGCCGATCTGGAGTGGTGAGAGGGGGAGAGCGGAGGGGGAGGTGGGGGAAAGGGAGAGATGTGAAGGATAGAAGAGAGGCACAGACGATGTTTGAGTCAGTGACGAAGCACACGTTAGCTAAAAGGGACGATACTCACGAAGGGGCAGTGAGGGTGCATGTCCATGATGCACGTGCATGTCCATGATGCACGGGCATGTCCATGATGCACGTGCATGTCCATGATGCACGTGCATGTCCTTGATGCACGTGCATGTACTTTTCTGACAAACGCCATAACTGCTGCACTAATGAACACTGGGATGCTACCAAAGAAACGGGCAGGTATCCACAAACCCCCAGTGATGGTTCATATCCACAACGCATGTGCCACAGCTGCTGCAGTGGTGATGGCGATGCTTGAGTCAATAATAAAAAAATAGGGAAGGCACTCATGTAGGGGCACTGGTGGTTCATGCTCATAATGCAGTAATGGTGCCGCAGCTGCTGCACTGAAGTGAGACGCTGATGCCGATACTGATACTGATGGTGATGGTGATGCTGATGGTGATGCTGATGGTGATGCTGATGCTGATGGTGATGCTGATGCTGATGGTGATGTTTGAGTCACAAGTTACCCAGTGGAGAAGAAACTCGCAAACGGGCAGTGATGGTCCATGTCCATGACGCACGTGCCGCAGCTGCTGCAATGGTTAAGATAGCGATGGTAGAGGGACTTATAAGACAGAACCCAGGAGAAAAAACAATCAGGTACTCACGAAGGGGCAGTGATGGTCCATGTCCATAACACACGTGCCACAGCTGCTGCAGTGGTGGGCGCCGGGGGCTTGGCTCGGGGCGGGTCGCAGCGGCGGCACAACTGCCAGCCGTCAAACGAGCCTGCGGGGCGAGAGGCAACGGAGGTCAGAAGTGATGTATAATAAAGAAGGTTTGGAGGGAGGGTGAGGACCGGGGGGCTTGGCTCGGGGTGGGTGGCAGCGGCGGCACAACTGCCAGCCGTCAAACGAACCTGAGAGGCAAGGGGGAACCCACCCACACAGCCATGGGTGTGGGAAGACATGGGAAAAGGTAGAGCGTGTGAAAGAGAGGCATGGGTGGTGTGGGAAAGGAAATGCATGGGAAAGAAGGGCATTTGATGTGGGATTTGTGATGTGGGATGTGGATTGTGGTAGGTGTGATGTGATGTATGATTTGAGATGTGCGATGTTTTGACACATGATGGGATGGGAACATCACTTGAAAGAAGTGAACGCACAACTGAAGGCTCAAAAGAAAGGCATCACGGTTCAGTTTCTGTTATGATACAGGCAGTAAGGACTTGGGGAGCTCATAACTGGAGAGCTGTACCTTAGTGGTTGGTACCCTTGTTCAGACTTACCTGCTGTGCCGATACAGTTGTCATGTATCGGCAGGTTAAGGAGCCGTTACAGTTGCCAATTACAGTTAAGGAGCCGAAGGGCACACGAGTGACTGGGCCGACCGGGAGGGGAGCGGAGCAGAGGAGAGGAAGGAGGGAACGGGAGAGTAATACCTGATGACTCAATTGAAAGTTCAGACTTACCTGCTGATACAGTTGGCATGTCTGCAGAGCCGAAAGCAACACGGGTGACTGGGCCGGCGGGGAGGAGAGCGGAGCAGAGGAAGTTGAAGACGGTTTGGAGGGAGAGGAGGAGCGTGATGAGGGCGTGCAGGAGGAAGGGGAGCGGCACGGGGAGGAGACGAGGCGGAGGGGGGTAGCGGTGGGAGAAGGGAGGGTGGAGGGGACAGATGACGGGGAAGGTGGTGAGGATGCCGCCAACTGGACAAGGCATGGAGGCGAGAGAAGACAAGAAGAGTGAGGAGAGGCAAAAGATAGAAGGTGGATGGGATAGGTGAACCAAAAACAGAGGGGAAGGTGGTGAGGATGTCACTAACTGGAGATGAGAGGGACGGGAGGAGAAGGGCAGGGTAGTGGTGATGGAAGGGCAGGGATGGAAGGAGAGAGGAAGAGAGGAAATGAGCAGATTGGAAGGGATGACGGGGGATGGGGAGAAGTTACAGCTGTCAGCGGGTGGAGGGGAGTGACGATGGGGAGGCAGGGGGTGAGAATGCGAGAGGGAGGAGCTGACGGGGAGAGGGAGAATGCATTTGACAGAGGGTGAATAGGAGAGGCAAAGGAAACAGTGGTGGAGATGTGAAACAAACCATATTAAAAAGTCAACAGCACCCGCCCACACCTTTTTGTGCTCACCAATAATGAACGTGATGAGAAGAATGACCACCGTCAGCACTAGCATATCCCACGCTGCCATGCACGCCCTGCACCTCCTCCTCCTCAACGGCTTCTCCAACTCCGTAGCAGCCTTTGAAGGGGGGGAGGAGGAGGAGGAAGGAGCAGCAGCGGAGGGGGAGGGTGAGGAGTGGAGGTGGAGCGTGAGAGCTCCGCAGTAGCCGCATTTGAAGTTGGGGGAGAAGGAGGGGAGGGAGAGGCAGAGGCCGCACGCCCAGCACAGCACATCGTAGCTCGCCCCATCCGTGCTCTCCACGTCCCGATACTCTAAACGCGGCTGCCCTGCCTGCTGCTGCTGCCGTGATGGCTGCTGCTGCTGCTGCAACTGCTGTTGGTGCTGCTGACGTTCTTGCTGGTACGGTGGGTGCTGCTGTTGCAGTTCTGCGCCGTGGGGATGTTGCAAAAGGACCACGCTCGAGACAGGGACCGGAACCGGGACTGGGGATGGGGCTGACAGCTGTTCAAAGTGCAGCCGCTTGGGCAGCAGCGGCGCCGAATCTTCCTCTCTCAAGCTCAACCCCCTGCCTGTCTCCTCGCCTCTCCCCCCCCATTCCACTGCTACGTCCCCCCCTCCGCCTCTCGTACCTCCTAACCCCACCCCTGCAGCGCTGCCAATACCACCGCTCCCAACACCAGAGCACCCATTGCCATCAGCAGTAGCAGCACCCATGGGAGCTCCAGCACTTGAGGGGGAAGCGGTGGGGGCACCACTGGGGAATGCACTCTCGGGCAACCATGTTTCAGAAGCGCCAGCACCAGCAGCAGCAGCAACCCCTCGGCTTGCTCCGCCTGACCCGGCTGTCTTACCCCGGTTGTGCACGGATTGGCCTGGCGACCTGTTGAAGGACGAGGACTGGGGGGAGGAGGTTGGGGTGGGAAGGGGGAAATGGGGGGGAAAGGTGGGAAAAGGTGGGGAAAAGGTAAGTCCTCTGCTGCTGTCTTACCCCGGTTGTGCACAGATTGGCCTGGTGACCTGTTGAAGGACGAGGACTGGGGGGAGGAGGTTGGGGAAGGGCAATTGGGGGAAAGGTGGGGAAAAGGTGAGCGCCCTCCTGTCTTGCCCCGGTTGGGCGTTGTTGAAGGACGAGGACAGGGGGGGAGGCGGGCGGGGGGAATGGGGAAAGTGGGCGAAAGGCGGGGGAGAGGTGGAGGAGAGTAAGGGGAAGGGAGGCCATAAGGCTGGAAATGACGGGTGAGGCTTCAGAGGGGGATGGGAGCGAGAGACAAGGGGTAGGGCAGGAGAGGGGATTGGGAGCGGGAGAAGAGGGGTGAAGCTACGAGGAGGAATGGGAGCGGGAGACGAGAGCGCGACAGCGACAGCTATGGTTACGAAGAGCGTGACGGCAGGTAGCGGGAAAGCGGGTAGTATAAAGTCGGCTCAAAAGGTTTTTTTCGAGTCGGCTCGAAAGGGGGAAATCGTAAGCGGGAAATGGAGGGTGGGCGTGAAGACGCGGCGGAAACCGAGAATACGGAAAGCGGGACGGCAGTAACGGGAGGGGACCAAGAAAGGCAGTCGAGAGGCTTCTCACCTGCCGCGTTAGAGTCCCGAAATGTCTTACCATTGCGGAAGTAACCCTAACGCCCCGCTCCACGAACTTCCGCTGTATCCACACTAAAACACGTAGAAGCTTTATGTTGATAAAGAAATCACATCAACAGGAGGGGACATTTGTTGGAGAATCGAGTTTCTGCCGCCCCAGCCCTTTGCACACAAGCAGCAGCAAGGGGGAATGTCGGCGATGAATCAGAGCTTGGGGAAGTACTTCGAAAGTTCCACCACCAATCAGATTTCAGCCGAAGACTCGATATAGTTCAAAGCTGCCTTCAAACCGAAGTGTTGGCAGTTTCTACAGGTTTCTACACATCAGAATCAGCTATAACAGAAATATCCAGAGTTTTCTTATTCATGCACCTCATGTGGCACTCAAAGTCACTCAAGGTCCATCCAATCTAGATTGTGCCCAAGTTACCAGGGAAGTTACATTGTCTATCAGCCTAGTTTGAGCTTTCAATCTGTCTTGTTTGTGATGCCTATAGAGTTGTGCTTTAGTGGGCTTGTTAATCTTGAACATAGTGAAGTTTTACCTCATCCAGTCAATTCCAGCAGCCCTGCTAAGACTTTCCAGCCAAGTTTCCAGCCCTCCAGTAGTCACAGCTACTCTGTTTTACAAGTACATTGAGGCTGCTCCCGCAAAGGACGTGTCACATCGAGTCGGTCGCTTGCTACACGCGATGAATCGCCTGGATGGTTTCCAGGTTACCAGAAAATATACGATTGAACAAAACTCATTTGGGGAAGGAGCTGTCGGTGTGCTCTCCGAATTTTCGATCAAAATCCAACGAACACATCATCGTTGGTTTCCCCGAGGTCCTAGAACCTCTCGACATTAGGTTACAGCGTTATCATCGGGTTAGATTGCCTCGATCCAATCCAATCTATCCCGATTTCTTAATTCCAGAAAAGTCGTACTGTATCATGGATTCAGGCGACCCAACCCAACCCAATTCCATAGGGTTGGATGGGTCGGCCCAGGCTGATCCGACCCAATCCAATCGAGTTGGGTTGCAACACGCCGTTACATGTTTACCACTACCCATTTCGAAGCCACATCGCTCATGCAGCTAGAGTAATGACGCGTTATTCCACGATCGTTGCTCCGGAACGTCAGTAGGGCGTGATTGTGAACCGCGACCCTCGACGCGCTGCGCGACCCCGCCAAGCAGTCAATCGCGCTCACCAGTCGTCACCCGCTGCGCGCGCACTGGCAGACAGCATGGCAGCACAGATGGTGTCGCCCGCAGCGCTTGCCGCCCTGGAGAGCGAAGGCTGGCACGTCTCCGCGCACGCGCTGCTCGCGCTGCTCGCCGCAAAACCCCCCTCCGCGGACGGCGGCGCACCGGATCCGCACGCCTCCGCCGCTTCCGCGTCCTCGGCGGGGCAGCCAGTTGGCGCGCGGCAGAGCGCGCCGATGTCCGCGCAGCAGGTGCGCGCGGCGGCGCTAGACCTGGACCTGCGGCGGTTCGGCGAGGGGTGCTTCCCGGACGACGTGAATCGCGCCGAGTACCGCCGCCTGTCGGGGAGGCTCGTCGTGCAGGCGAGTCCCCTGCCATGCCCACTGCCCCACTGCCCCTGCAGACGAGTGCCCTCCCCTGCCCCTTCTGAGTCAGACTCAAAGGTCACCTCGGTTCGGCAAGGCGTGCTTTCCGGACGACGTGAACCGAGCCAAGCACTGCCTGCTGGGTCGACTCGTCGTGCAGGCGAGTCCCCTCCGCTTTCTTCCGAACCTCCACTTCCCTCGTCCCACTTTGCTCCCCGCACCCCCCTTGCTCCCCGCACCCCCCTTTCTCCCCGCAACCCCCTTGCTCCCCGCACCCCCCTTTCTCCCCGCACCCCCCTTTCTCCCCGCACCCCCCTTTCTCCCCGCACCCCCCTTGCTCTCCGCACCCCCCTTGCTCCCCACGCTCCCCTTGCTCCCGGCACTTATGTTTCCTCCTCTGTTTCCGCGTGTCGGCTCATCTGTCCATCGCTCTGGAGTGGAGTGCAGGCGAGCACCAGAACCCTGGCCTGCCCATCCACTTGCTCGCCCCCCACTCCCACGCGTGTAACAAGTCCATTCTGTGCCTTACCTTTGCTCTTTCAGAAGGTGGCATCATCATGCCTAGCCACACTGCAAGGGGGAACCTGGTGGGAGAATGCGATCGCCCCCTGCCTTGTACTTTCAACCGAATTCTCTTTCCTTGCCCCCTACCATACCACTCCCATATGCCCACTCCCCTCCCTCAGGTGGTGTCAGCCGTAAATGTGTGTGAGCCCAGGGGCGGGGAGGACGCTGAGTCACCTTGCTCTGCACTCCCCGCGCCCCCTTCTCTCCACGCCCCCCTTGCGCCCCCCTTGCGCTCCCCTTGCGCCCCCCTTGCGCTCCCCTTGCGCCCCGCCAGGTGGTGTCAGCCGTGAACGTGTGTGAGCCCAAGGGCGGGGAGGACGCTGAGTCAGCTGCCGCCGCTGCTGACGAGGACGACCGCTGGGACGACGACAGCAATCAGCCTGCCCCCACTGCTCCCTCTCCTGCTGCTTCCGCTGTTGGTGTGGATGGGCTGGGAGGGCGAGGTGCTGTGGGTGGCAGTGGGGGGCGAAGGCTGCTGCGCATTCGGGTGACGGACGGCAAGAGGAATGCGAGTGCTGTGGAGATGCACCCGTGCCCTCTCGTGCCGGCTGCTCTTGCTCCAGGCACCAAGGTACTTTGTCTCAACACCAACGCTCCCTGCATCACTTTGACTTGGACAGATTCTTTTGTCCTCGTGTGCCGGCCGCTCTTGCTCGGGGCCAAGGTGCTTTCTTTGGACACCACAGCACCATGCATGCATGCAACGCCTTTCGAGCAGGACTTAGTTTTCATTGGTCGCGCTAGTGGCAGTGTGCATGCAGAGACAGCAACTGCGCATTTCGGCTACAGGTGGAGCTACAGCCAAAATTCAGCGCTCTTTCCTCTCCAGAGAAGCAAGTAACGAAGGTCACGTGTCACTCATTACCCCTCCCTGCCTCCCTGCCTCCTCCCCCCCTTCCCATCCAGCTGCTCCTCACGGCCCCCACCATCCGCCACGGCTTCATCCTGCTCGACCCGCAGACCGTGCAAGTGATGGGCGGCCGTGTGGCTCCTCTCTATGACGAGTGGGACATGCAGCGCCGCTACTCCCTCCTCCCCGCCCTCGCCCCCACTGCCTCCTCCGCCCACTCCCGCTCCTCCCGCGCCCCCTCTGTGTCCGCCCTCGCCTCCTCTCTCCCCGGTGCCTCTGCCGGCCCGCCTCCCTTCCGCGGGGTCACGGACGCGCGCCTGCAGGCAGCTACAGCCGGCACGGCTGCCAGTATGCCTGTCAGCGCGCCTGGTAGCGCAGTTGCCGGCACGCATGAGTCTGGAGCAGCGGGTGGGGGGCCGGCAGGAGGGCGTGGGGGTGATGCCAGTGCTGCCGGCTCCGCCCCTGCAGCAGCAGCGGCAGCAGCGGGAGCAGCGGGAGCAGCAGGTAGTGCAGTGAGAGAAGGGGGGGGAGGGTCGGTAGAGGCGGGGGAGGCAGGGGCAGCAGCAGAGGCAGCGAGGGAGAGGGCGGTGGAGCGGGCAAGAGTTGAGGCTGCTGCTGCTCTCAAACACGCTTCCCCACACGATAGGAGCGCTTCCAGGAAGCTTCTGGAGAAGATGGGGGAGGAGCCGGGGCGAGGCAGGGGCAGGCGGGGGGGGCGTGGGGGAAAGGGGAGGGGGAGGAGGGGCCGGGAGGAGGAGGAGGATGAGGGGACGATGACACTAGAGGAATATGAGGCGAGGAAGGCTATGGGGAGGCAAGGAGGGGGACGAGGGGTGGGGGGGGTAACGGGAGGAACGGGAGGGGTGGGAGGAATGGGAGGGAGTGGAGGGAGGGTAAATGCAAGCAGTGAAGCACAAGTGATGTCAGATGAGGAACTTGCGAGGAAGCTGCAGGCGGAGTTGGATATGGAGGACATGGGGGGCTTTGTACGTTGCACACCCTTTGCTCTGCTCTTCCTTGTCCCTTTCCCTATTGCCTTTCCATACCCACTCGCTCGTTTATTGTTTCTCCCAACTCTCATATCCGCTGGTTGCATTCTTGCCATCTTTTCTCACTCCTGCACTCTCGTTTCACCTCCCCACTGTCGCCTCTCCATCTCCTGCTGTCATCCCTCCATCTCCCACTGTCACCCCTCCATCTCCCACTGTCACCCCTCCATCTCCCACTGTCACCCCTCCATCTCCCACTGTCACCCCAATATCTCTCATTGTTACCCCTCCATCTCCCACTGTCAACCCCCACCTCCTCGCCCTCCCCAGGCACACGCAGCCCACACTCCTCCGCACGCACACCACTCGCCTCCCACTGCCACGTCAGCATCGGAGCAGCTACGCCAATCGCTGTTCAGCTTCCAGCCGGCAGCAGAGCCCGAGGGGAGCTACGAAGGGGGAAGAGGGGGGCGGGGCAGGCGGGGGAGGAGGGGCGGAGGGTTTGGAGGTACCAGTGGCAGATACGGGGGTAGCGGGGGAGGGAGAGGAGGCAGAGGATGGTAATACTCCAGTGTTGAGACGTCTCAAAACTAGCAGAGGGGGGCGGGGCAGGCGGGGGAGGAGGGGATGGTCTGGAGGGAGTACGAGTTGTAGATACGGGGGCAGAGGGTTAGGCAGAGGGTGGTAATATTTTCCAGCTCGAGGAAAAAGAGGATTTTTTGCACTTGGAAACGTACCTTTTTATTGTCTCATGCACATATTCAAACATTGGCCGACCCATGTTGCACCTTACCTGCGCTTATATCCATGGAATTGCAGTGTTCCCTTGGCACACTTAGGGTACATGATAATTTTTGAAAGTAATGAAATGTATCACTTTCTAAAATTTTGTATTGTGAAAAGGGGTACGTGGCCAACACAGCAAAGGTAGCGTCGAAGCACTACTCACCCTCTTTTGCCTACAAAAGAGGGACGTGGGGACATTCGTCCCCACCCACGTTTTCATTTCTGAAATTGTAGTTCTAATTTCGTTCTCGTCCACACTGGCGAAGACTCAGTCGCTTCCGCGCTTCACTGCCCCGTCAACGCTCCTTAACGACATCCTTAAGCGCAACCTCGCAACGATGGCTCCGGTCAACCCGGCACTTAACTGCGACAACTCGAATATTTCAAGCCCCGGTAACGCGGCGGAAACCTCGACTCCGTCCGGGACTTCGGATCGTCGCGGCGGAAAACGTCCCGCCGAAGAAATTTCGAGCGAGGGACCTTCGGCGGTCGACCTCCTGCTCGGAGGCACCCTTCGGACCCCCCCTGAGGAACGCGCGACTGTTGTACAGTCGCGCGTGGCTGCTGCTGAAGAGCGCGTGCCTGGCAGGCACGCGCGTGCCGCGCAGAAGACGACGACCGCCGCTGACGCGGCAGTCGTCTTGACCGCCGCTGACGCTGGTCAATCCGGGCCCACGACCCAGAAACGCCAGCGCGCGGCACCCTCCGCTGACGTCACGCCGGTCAACGCCCCCCCCCCTTTGACCGCGCAGCAGCTGCAGGCGCTGCTCTCGTTATTGCAGCAGCACGCGCCATCGACTACAGCTACATCGACTGAAGACATTTCTGCTTCCGCTAAAATTGAAAAGCAGAAGGAACCTGTCGCTCCCCCCCGCTCCACGAAGGTCGCTCGCGCCAACAACGCTGCTCCTCATCCTGTCCCGGCTCCGGCACCAACCCAAGCCCGTATCCCCGACGACAGCGACGACTCGGAAAATGAAGACGGTGAGGCCCCCGACAATCTTGCTCGCCGTCGCATTCTCGCACCCGCACCTCCCCTTCCCCCCCTCAACCCTTCACCCGCAGCTACTACCTTCATGCGCAAGGGAGTGCGTGACCAGGCGGAGGTGTTCTCTGCAATTCAAGCTCACCTGAGGCACGTCGAGTTCAAGCTCCAACACGGCGACGTCGAGGGCGCGCTCTCCAACGTGGAGCAAGTCGAAACGTTGATCAACAAACGTTTCGAGGTGCTCTTGGTGGCGGATGAGGCCGGTTTCGAGGCGGCGGATCGGTTCCAGCTGTACCAAGCCAAGAGCGTGCTCACGTCCCGCTCTTACAAGCTCGCGGTAGCCGACGTGGCGGCCCTCAAGCGTGCACGCACCGGCTTCGCCCGCGGAGGCCGCCTTCCCCTTCGAGAGGGCGAACCGGAAAGCAAAGGCATGCCACCCGCGGGCTGCCACGAGCCCCGCTTCAAGGGAGTGTGTTTTCGTTGCGGCCAGCCCGGCCATATCGCAAACAATTGCCCTATGGGAGGGCGTGGAGCACAAGGTCCCGCACCCGTGGTGTGAGAGGACCCATGGGGCGGCGCCCCTTGCCACTATGCCGGGGGGCGTAGGTGGATGCACCGGTGGTGCGTAGGCTGGTTAGGAGCCTTGGAGAGTAGCATAGGCCATGGGGGCCAGGACAAAATGGCAGCCGTAGGGGCTGGTTATGGTGTAGGCCTAGGCTTGTATGCCTTTGTGTGGATTAATAAAAGAAGATTGTTATAAAAAAAAAAAAAAAAAAAAAAGAGAGAGAGAAAGAGAGACAACAAGAGGAGGGAGAACGGATAGCACGGCAAGTCAAAAGCCAGCCCCCTCTTGAGGAAGGCAGCCATGGAGGACGAGTTGGCCAATGGTGAAGCAAGGACCGAGAGAAGCAAAAAAAAAAAAAAAAAACAAGACAAAACAAAACAAAACAAAAAGAGAGGGGAAGAGAGTAAAAGAGAGAGAAAGAGAGAGGGAGAGGGAGAGAGAGAGAGAGAGAGAGAGAGAGAGAGAGAGAGAAAGAGAGAGAGAGAGAGCGAGAGAGAGAGAGAGAGAGAGAGAGAGAATGAGAGAGCGAGAGAGAGGGAGAGAGAGAGCGAGTGAGAGAGTGAGTGAGAGAGAGAGAGAGAGGGAGAGAGAGAGAGAGAGAGAGAGAGAGGGAGTGAGAGAGAGAGAGAGAGAGAGAGAGAGAGAGAGAGAGAGAGAGAGAAGCCACGAAGACATCGTGATGAACAAGGTTGTGGGACCAAGTGACGCACTTGCGCCGATCTCGTTGTAAGGCAGTCTCAAAAAAAAAAAAAAAAAAAAAAAAAAACCCTGCAAGGGTGTCATGGCTGACGAGTGGTCAAGGGAAGTGTTCCAAAAAAAAAAAAAAAAAAAAAACCCGGGGGTGCAGGGAGGCGCGAAGGCGGTAAAAGGCGAGCGACATAGTTTCACGAAGCGTTTCGTGAAATCCCACGTCTAATCGACCTTGGTCCTCGTTCCCCCCCCACAACCTCGGTTGCCCACCAATTGCAGAAGCGGAAGGCGAGTGGCAGAGTGCTCACTGGGACCCATACGAGCATGCAATAACGGACAACATGGTGTCCATTATGCGAATGCGATTGCGCAACAGCCTCCACTGGTGGCTATCATGGTGCGACAGCAGTCTTATCCTCTCCATCATTGCCAAAGGGTACTGGCTACCATGGAAGGGTGCAGAGCCTCTCCCCTTCGAAGCTCCCAATCACGCAGGGGTTCAAGCACACATGGCATTCACCGAAGACGCGGTCAGCGACCTCATCGCGTCAGGCGCCGCGATGAATGTCTCGTCGAAAGCCGCACTTACGTGCATCAGCCCGCTCAATGTTGTGCAGCAACGTGACAAATGTCGGCTCATCCTTGACCTGCGGAAGGTCAACGCTCACCTCCAAGTTCCCAAGTTCAAGTACGAGGGCTTGAGTCGGGTCGCGGAGATCATTCGCCCAAACGACTGGATGTTCACAATCGATCTCAAGTCAGGCTACCACCACGTCGAAATCCACCCATCGTGCTGGAAGTTTTTGGGCTTTCAATTGGGCGGAAAGTTCTATTGCTTCACTTCCTTACCTTTCGGCCTGGCAACAGCCCCGTTCGTCTTCACCCAGCTTATTAAGCAACTAGCCAAGAAATGGCGCGCGCGCGGAGTGCGCGTAATACCATACATGGACGATCTGCTATTCCTCTGCGACTCTGAGGCGCAAGCCCGTTCGACGTGCATTGAAGTTCTCCACGACCTGAAGGCAGCAGGATTCGTGCTAAATTCTAAGAAATCAAACCTGCATCCCGCACACCACTTGCGCTTTTTGGGGATGGAGCTTGACACGGAACGAGGGATGTTCCTCGTCGGCAAAGATCGGCGCGAACAACTACTGCAGGAGCTCCACCTACTCATACAAAAAGGGCAATCGGGTCGACAAGTACCGATTCGCAAGATAGCCCGGATCACTGGATTTCTCAGCTCCATGTCGCTCGCGCTAGGCACGACGGCGCGTGCCTTCAGCCATGAGCTGCTGCACTTGATCGACTCCGCGTGGTCATGGAACTCGAAGGTTGTATTCTCAACAGGAGCGACAGAGGAGCTGTTGTTTTGGACAATGCATTTCGATCGATTCAATGGCGCCCCATTCCACCAGAGTCAGCGTTTTGATGCCGTGATCCACGTGGACGCAAGCGCGCACAGCTGGGGTGCCACCTTGGCCAAGTTCCCAAGTACATCATGCGAAGCAAGCGAGTGCATGCCACGAGGGCTTCTCCCCACATCCAGTACGCGGCGAGAGCTCGAGGGAGTGCTCTGGGCACTGCGGACGTTCGCAACCCGGATCGTAGGTGCTCACGTCCTCGTCCGGGTGGACAACCAGGCAGTCATGTTCATCCTGCGGAAGGGGGGATCCCGTCAGGCGGATCTTACGTTGACATGCCAAGCGATCATCCAGTTCTGCCTCGCCAACACAACACGCCTCGCGATCGAATGGATTCCGAGAGAGCTCAACGTCCATGCGGATGACCTATCCAAGATGCAAGATTACGACGACTACTCCCTACATGCACCTTGGTTTCGCCTCTTGGAACGCCGCTGGGGGCCCCACACAATTGATCTCTTTGCTAACGTTCGGAACAATCACGTCCAGCGCTTCTGCTCCAAGATACCGCACCCCGACGCGTTCGCTGTCGACGCATTTTCCATCTCGTGGAAAGGCGAGCGATGCTTTGCCTTCCCGCCTCCACACTTAATTCCCACTACACTCCGCCATGCGGAACTCACGCAGACAGAACTCACGCTCGTAGTTCCCAAGTGGACCGGAGCGTCATGGTGGCCGCTTCTCCAACCGTCCACTCAATCGTGGGCTCCGGCAGTAGTAGAGCACCTTTCCCTTGCCCAAGGCAGTCAATGCCTTCGGGCAGGTTCACACACCGCTGCATTCTCTGGTCTCGGATTGCCTCATAGCCCAATCATTGCTTTGCGTGTAAAGTATGCAGTCTAATAAAAAATTTATCAATGTGTCATTTCAGGACTTTTGGCCAAACTACAGCAACAATTGATGCACGTAATTAGCCACGTTCGCGCACCATCTACAATCGAGACGTACCAACCTTATTGGCAGAGATTTCGCACCTTCTGTACCCAAGTTAAGCTCGAGTTCCTACCGGCAACCGACTTGACGCTAGCGCTGTATCTCATTCATGCGCTCAACAACAAAGCAACTCTCTCTGCGATCAACCTCACATGTTCGGCAGTAGCCTTCGCCCACCGCA